AGGTCCTTCTTCCTCCTGAAAGCCTAAGCCAGGTAGCTGAAACAGCTTGACTCTCTTCAGACCTTTTAAATCCTTTTTCACCTTTACCCATTCGAGACTAAGTGCTATAGGTATGTTAATTAGCCTTGAGAAACCTTGAGTCGCTGCCTTAGGATTTGAACGTAAAAAGGAATTTATAACAATTTGCTTGAATTTTTGCAAAATTATGGCTGTTAGATTATTAAGACCATTTGCAATGTATATTTTAGAATTTGTTCCTGTAAATCATTGTGTCCTGTTTTGAATGATTAATCACATTTCATTTCTGTACCCTGTCTTAATAATCCCCTTCTTACTTTGTGTAAAATCCCTCCCTGAAATAAAAGACGGACGCAGATTGAAACCTGCATGCATTACTGCCTGCAGGGACCATGATGCCTGCAATCCAGGATCTGCCTGCCAGTCTTGCATCCACTCTGGTTTCAGGATGTCTCTTTGTCTCTCTCGTCACGTCTTTGTGTGCATTCTTTTTCTATTTCTTTCTCCGCCAGATCTCCCTACTTCGTGAATCAAATTTCCCTGTTGAGGCTGGTCCCCGACACTGTCCTATGAGAATTTCATTGGAAAACTTTACTCCATACACATAGTAGACCTAATCTTGCCCTTTTAGACTTCTTTTTGTTCCCCAAACTCAAAGAACATTGTAACAGAATGCAATTTGAGTTCCTAGAAAATGTCAAAATTTCTGTTTTGATGTTGTATAAATCAGAGTACAGAATTCTATGAGAAAGAATTGTTGTTTTATTGTTGTTAAGTGCTGTCAAGTCAGTTCTGACTCAGGGACACTGTGTAGCATTTCCAAGGATTAGCTGGTGGATTTGAACTGCTGACATTGTGATTAGTAGTCAAGTGCCTATTCTACAGAACCACAAAAGAGTTGTAGCTGTTGTAAGTGTCATCGAGTCAGTTCTGTCTCTTGGTGACCCTGTATAGGATTTCCAAGGAGTGACTGGTGAGTTCAAACTCAGGGATTTACTTATAGTATGTAGTCTACAGTTCACCTGTATAACATTGAAATTTATAAGGTATTATATTAGCAATTGCAATTCAGTTTTTCATAGGGTTAGAAATATTAAAATGATACTTGATATTTTAAAATTAAATGGGTAAAATCAGTTGAGGGTCAAAAATTTCTAAAGCTTAGAATTTAAAAATATTAGAATATTATTATGAATTTTAATAAAATATGTGCTCTTATATTTCATACAAAAAATCGTTGATGAGAATAAAATGATACTTTCACAAAGAATGCTTCTTTTTAAACAGGTAATCATGTAATCTGGACTGGATACTATGGATTAGTGTATAACCTGGTGAGATTGTCTTGGGAGCTTCGGGGAGATGAGGAAGAGGATGGACTGAGAAACATAATATGGCAAATTTTACAGAAAACAAGACATTCTGAGAAAGATGAACGGATTCATATTGCAATTAAGATAGCTCAGGTAAGATAAAATACTGGCAAGATATTGGCCCTCCTATTATTGGGAAACATATTTGTCATTTATCTCTATGGAAAAGTAATATCCACTTCCAGTGAATTAGAGTTGAGACTAGTTTTTATAATTTAACACAACTATTTTTGCTCTGGTAGCATTGTTGTTGTTGTCAGGTGCCATCGAGTTGGAACCAACTCATAGCGACCCCATGCACAGCAGAACGAAACAGTGTCCAATCCTGGGCCAACCTCAC